AATGGAGGAGTGCGGCCTGGGGCAGCCGCTGAACCCTTGGTTCAGCGACTATCTCAGGGCGCGCTCTTACCGTGTGAAAGTCGGCGATGCGTTCAGCGAGGAGAAACAAGTAAACTGCGGAGTTCCCCAGGGCTCCGGATGTGGGCCCGTGTGTTACCTGATGCACGTAAATAGCCTCTGTGGAGTATTACGTCACTGCTCCGCCCATATGTTTGCCGATGACCTTTGTACTCTGAGCGCTAGTACCGACCTCGCGGAAATGTGTCGCCGGGTTCAAGAGGATGTGGATGCGGTAGTTAAATGGTCACATGATAACGGCATTATATTAAACGCTGACAAAACAAAGATGATAATTATTCACTCCCCGTATTTACGTTCTATTGATAATCCGCCTCCTCTGATTGCCCACAGCTTTGATTGCTTCCACAATAAGAAAATTAACTGCACGTGTAATCCTATCGAAAAAGTTAATTGTGTAAAATACCTAGGAGTAAAAATAGATACCTCTTTTTCCTGGGATTCCCACATAGAATACTTATGTGGAAAATTAAGAATATTACTAGAAAAGTTTTATTATTTAAGTATTAAAGTTCCATTGCCAATACTAAAATGTTTATATTTTGCACTAGTGGATTCCATAATAAGTTACGCTCTTGATTGCTATGGATTAACATTTAAAACATACATAGATAAAATAGAATCATTGCAAACAAGATTTTTAAAATTACTCGTAAATAAAAAGACAAAGAATCAATGTAAAGGAGATTACTCTAAACTATATAAAATATGTAAAATTTTACCGGCTAGCCTGAAACATAAATATCTTCTACTTGTAAACAATCATAGTAAACAGGATCGTTTAACTAACTTGGTGCAACATAAAACTGGCACAAGGTCAATGTCCAAAGGAAAATTTGAAATACCCATGGTACAAAATTACTATGGAGATAGAACGTTAAAAAAACGTGTTCCATACTTACTCAATAGTTTACCCGAGGACATAAGACGTGAGCCTATACTTGCTAAATTTAAAAGCTTATTAAAAAAACATTTGTTAAATACGTTGTCACCATTTACGTAAATTAATTGTGTTATTATAGTATAAGCTAGTTGAATGGTTTATACGCTATGTTTGTATAAAGCGAGTTACCTGCAGTCAAACTGCGTAAGCAGTTTTGCGGGGCATGTTTTGAATGTAAGTGTAACTTTTTATGAATAAATATATTACATACATATATGATGTCATCTGCCGGTTCATGATTCTGGCCTACTTCGACTGACATCTATTCATCTACTGTTAACTGTGATATGTTTACTTATATCGATTACTATTTTTTCTCACCTAAGACTCACGTGTTTCGGTCCCATGGACAATGTTAGGCCTACGCCAAAGTTTTTGAAGGTTGGAAGGAAGAGTTAAATAGTTTTAGATAAACATATTAAATATAAAAATGCACAACTAATTTGTGACTATTGTTCATTGTATAAAAAAGAGTTTGGATTTTCCAAAAAAAAAAAACACAAAACTTGTCCTGAAAATTACGAACACAATGAAAAATAAATCAGCCTAATCGGTCGAGTTGTTTTCAAATGAGGCACCGTTATGAACATGACAATTGACTTTTATTTAAATGAAAATATTACAGCTTTTACGAGGAAATGTATGTAAATAATATAAATCTAATTGAAAAAAGTGCAGCAGCCCATTGTTTGATGCTTTATTTTTCAGATTAAGCTTCTTGGCATATTATTTTGAATCGTTTTTAAAAGATCGAAACTTGAGAAATGTGATTTTTTTAAGAAAACTAACATTTTAATTACGATACGCTGTTTAGATCTACCTGATTACAACCACTGATTTTTAGGGTAAACTATTTTTACTGTTTAAGCTCAGGCTTTTTATATCAGTTCCTCCGACGTATCGAATACTTTACAGTATTCCTAGTTACGGACTTCTAATGTGTTATTCGTCGACATTTGAATATTGTGCTAACTAACTATCCTCTATTTTTCACTACTTACAAATATTTCTAGATTTTATGTTTGAGTTCACACAGAACGAATTAATAGTAACTTAATGTAACAAATAGTTCGATTATATCTACAAATCGCGAAAACCGAAGTTTAGTAACGTTATGCTAATATTGCTAAACAAACCAATATGTAATATAAGAAATTTTAGTGTTTAAAACACTTATACTATTTAAACTCGATCGAAGTTGTCATGGCCTAAACGATAAGATGCCCGGTGTACTCGTACCAAACGTCGCGCTTTTATTATTTTGACTACCTACCTATCTATCTGTTTTATTCTTAAGCGGCACGGCTAGGTCTGCCTAGTTTTAATGGGAAGCATTCATAGCTTAGAAGGTGTTACAACCGTCATACAATCAAGACTTTCCACTTTACGAGTATACGCAACTAGTAGAATCGCATACCTTAATAAAAAAAAAACAATAATAAATACGATTTCATGTAAACATTGATTATTTGTGTTCAAAGTTTTTATGATAATTTTCAACCGAAACTCACATTAAGACTGTTTTGTGTCACTTTCATGTGAGAGCGGGGTTTTTTGATTTTGTGAGAAATGTAAACGCATGGATTTGGCTGCTTTGTACATATAAATTGATTTTATTTTTAAAGTGTGAGGCTAAGTAGTGCAATAATAAGATGGTTTAAAATTTTATTTCGAACTGTTAATAACGGCTATGCAAAATCTAATTACATAATCTATACTAATATATAAATCTACAGTGATTTTTACGGATGTTCCGTTATAACTACTGAACCATGCATCCGATTGACTTGAAACTTGGTATCCATGTAGAAAATGGATGTACTTAATGGATAGGCTAATATTTATATGAGTGTTAGACTCGTTAATAATAATGACAATAATATAATGATAATTTTAAAGGCCCAGCGATGGGGGCGAGTACGGCTACTTATTTACTATATATATACGTAACACATGACAATCTAGTACCAATTGCAATACAGCAGGTAAATACAAATTCGTATGCTTTACTTTTCATAAAACACGTCTCAAACATGTTTGTTTACTGGAAAAGTACAGAAAGTCGAATAAAATTAGGATGCGAATTTATACACATCCATAATAAAATAAATTCGCGGCATTGAGACAATCGATAAAATATTTGCGTGCCACAAAGCAAGACTCAAAATGTGTTGTACGGTTTTTTTTTGTAATTAGTTAAATGTAGTAATTTATTTAGTATTACCAATTTAAATGAATTCTGCACATATGTAGTAGCCATAGCAAATTGTACTACAATACATCATTTAAGCGTGGGATTTTAGAATTTGGTTGCTTCTACATAATGCGCCTTCTAAGTTTTTATCGTGAGCTGTTGTTGCATTTTGAATACGCACAGGTTGGTGCCACTGTGGTACTGTTCTGTACTACATTCTTGCTACAATGCCTTTCCGGTTAAAGAGTATTAAAGCTGTTACCCTAATACTAATTAATAGTTTGATCCCATGTCAAGTAGATCAGTGGTATTAATATTTTGTTTTTTTATTGCTACAAAAGCCGAATGAGCTAACAGCCCACCTAATAGTGAATGGTAACCGTGGCTCATCAACCTCATATTAACACCGGATAGGCCCTGAGCTTTGGAATTAACTTCATTGCCCTGTGTTTTCAGAGTGCTATGATCTGTCAGTCAATTGAGGTTTAAAATGTTGTCCCTCTGCCATTACTGATGTCCATGAGCAACGGATACTACTCACTATCAGGTTAAGCTAGTCTGCTCTTCTTCAAGGGCCACGAAAATATCTTGTCGGTCGAATTAAAGAAATACAAATAATTAGGTTCAATAAATCTAAACATAAATAAGTCAATGACCCAGGCTTACACATATTGTAACTCGATTTGCAAATCTGGCGAATATTCGAAGGATCAAAGGAAGCGCTGGCTGTCAACATCTGTTTCTTTTCAAGGGGATTTAATCAGATAAATCGTGTTTATAGCTCATGAATTTCCTGATGCAAAATCAATTATGAATTAACTTGTACCAAAAAACATGCACTTTGTAAAAATACTCACTTGGCTGTTTCTTCTTTGTTAAATAACGAAAATGTTTGAAAATCCATACAAGACTATCAAAAAATATCAGATTGTAATTCGAAGTATAATGCAAAAAAAAACTTCCTTAACATACCTAATTGTTACTGCTATTATCCTATTTTTCATTTCCATAAAAGAAATCTATGATCCATAACGGGCAGTGGTATCCGCTAACTTCTGAATTGGTCGGCAGGCTCGTCGAATCCGGTAGTGTATGTGAATGGTTCATGCTTGGAATGCGAAAGGGTACGTGCCGCCTGTGAACGGCTCGGCATCGTGGAGGTGGCACCGGAGCCCGATGCATTGCCGACACTGCTGCAACCGACTGCACCGCCATGTTACCTCGTCACATCTCCCTTCGAAGGCGAACTCTTCGACACAGCACACAGAGCCAAATACAGGTAAGTTTTATTTTAAAGAGCGTTCGACTCGATTGCGATTTCGATTGTTCCAGGCGTTGTAAGAAATTTTAATTGAATTATTGGCAATGGCAAAAGTACCCATTCAAAATGTTAATGGTCTAAATAGAGCACGCAATAGCGTAGCTGGAATAGCCCCCTAAGCTACCAGAGAATAGGTAGGGAGAAAAAAAAGCACCAAATAAATTCCAGTGTCGGTTTTCATAGTGACGGTACCCTAGGTGCGTGCTAAAATGCCGCATTTTGATAACAATGTTTTTAAGAAAGGACAGCAAAGCTAAAATATGTTTATGTAAAAAATAGAAAACATTTTTATTTTATTTTATTTTATTTTATTTATTTAATGGATCACCAACAAATGAAACACTGGCTTAAACATAGGGTACAAAAATATCAAAACATGACATGTGCTCACTTAATTATAGGTAATCACAGCTAACATCTAGTTCTAGTACCAAATGATTATAAAATTAATTAAATTTTTAAAAAGAAAAAATCCATCAATAAACTACATAAAAACAAATAACATGAGAACAATTAACATGGTTTAGGAGCTAAATAGATTCTAATTTTTTTCTTAAAACTAAACAAGTTTTGAGCAAATATGTCCAGATCCAATATACGATGCTATTAATAATAATACATCATTATCATCATTATCAACAGCCCATAGTCGTCGTCATCCACTGCTGGACATAGGCCTCTCCCAACTGTTAAAAATATGACTGAGCCTCAGTGGTGTGGACTATTAATACAATTATATCAAATTAATTCATGAGCTTATCGAATCCCTCTATATCATTATATAGATATTTTTAACAGTTTCTTGCAGTGAGAGAAATAAAGTAATCATCAATCTGACGATTGACGAAAAACTTAATTTATTTCGAAATATTTTGGTTTAAGTACCTTTTAATATTAGGAATATTTTCAATTTCGGCGCCCTCATAACGTTGCCACTAGGCTTCGTAAGCCTAAGTCTACAGCAACTATTGATAATTTCTTGCTTCATGCTTTTCTTGTAACACCTAGGATTGCGTTCCTACCGTTTCACATTTTCAGCATTCTAAAAACATTCGGCTTTCAAATCAGAAGTACAAGTCAGTGTACTTCAAATAAACACGTAGGATTTTCTAATACTTTTTGATTCAGGCACAATTTGTTGTCAAGTTTTCTTGAAATTATAGTAGGTATACGGTCAGAACGCCATACCTGAAAGTTACATTAGTTTACATAGCGCTATCATAATAATAATATCCTTGGCGTAAACAAAATATACTAGTAGTTAGTGCTTATCAAGATATAATTCAATTTAGAAAGTATTTTTTGCATAATACTTTACCTTAATACTTAATACCTTACATATTATCCTTGTGTTGACTGACAAATCAAAACATTGGCTCGTAAAAATATAAGCTTTAAAAAAGTCAATCAGTGAAAACAAAAAACTTAGACGAAGCTTTACAGCTATAAACATAGTATTTTTTTCACGCGATCGTGGGAGTTTTTGTACAATGACGCCAACATTCAAGAGCGCGATACAAATGTTAACACCAATATTCGCTTTGCGTGGACAACTCAGAATTCTGTTAGTTGATTTAATTATTTTCTTATACATTTTACATTTAAAGACGAGTACCTACCTATAATGGAATTCCTTAATAAAATGATTTATTATATATTGATACATAAATTTAAGGAATACGACGGCCGTTTTTTCTATTGATTAAATAGCTAACAAACGACAATATGGTGCTGTGTAAATGAGCATTTGTGTTTAACTGCTAATAAAAAGTAACTTAAATTACTATAATAATAGAAGACTACGTAGAAAACGTTGTTTCCCGAGCGCCATGACACGTCCTTCTTCAAACGAGGCTTGTGGAGAGTATTAAGCGGTAGGCAGCGGCTTGGCTCTGTCCCTGTCATTGCTGAAGTTCATGGGCGACGGTAACCACTCACCATCAGGTGGGCCCGTATGCTCGTCTGCCTACAAGGGCAATAAAAAAAAAGAATAGATTAATGTCTGCAACGTAGAGATAATTTACTATCTACTAATCCCACTAGTGCGTTTATTAAGCTTAAATTATTAATTTTTTCAGAATATTACTTAAATCTAATTTTTGCTGCGTATTGACCACATACACTTGGTTTTAATGAGTTTTTTCGTTTCGAGACGGAACTAAAGCAAAATTGTTCTGGTTAATGACTGCTATTTTAGAATAGATCAACGTCACCAGTAGCTGTCATATAAGTGTGAACATCGGTTTTTCAACACAAAAACGTGTATTAAACGTAAACTTGTACAAAACATCCGACGCGCGCTCATTAAGTCTAGCAAAGTAACTAAGAACGTTGCCAAAATAAATTTTAATGTCAATAACGTCTCATTAACATGTCTCTGTACATTGTATATTCCCTATATGTTCGGTATGTATATTTCGAAGGAGGAAATCGATGCTCACGCATAACATAGTTCTATCCGTATAAAATAGGCAGGTAGTCAGCGGCTTGGTTCTGCCCCTGGCATTGCTAAAGTCCATGGGCGACGGTAACCACTCACCATCAGGTGGGCTGTATGCTGCTCGTTTGCCTACAAGGGCAATTAAAAAAAAAAAAAATAGTTGAAGATTTTCATTGAAACTTTTTATTTCTCTATTTAAATAGGAGACGAGCATCCTTTAATCTGTGTGCGACGGTATCTTTATTTGAACGATGGAATGTTGCAGTTGAAACTGCGATATTCCGCGAGTTTGATATCTGATTGATGGTTTGGCTACCTCTTATCGTTGACTTTGTACATTTGCCTTCATTAAATTCCAACGAGAACGTTTATTACAGCTACTATGTTAGGCAAATTGATTTGTCTAAATAATTTTCATTATTTGTTTATGTTTATTTTATTGATTTGTCTAAATAGATTTCATATAATTCACGATGACCAACTTAAATGTTACGTTTTCATATTTTTGTTTTTTTTTTTTGGATTTAAAAATAATATTACCCGTGAATATTTCTAATAGTGTTATGAATAACCATTAAAGCTTTTCTTATAAAGTATACCATCACTATTGTGCGTTCGTGAGAATTCCCTACTCTACATCGACGATTTTTGTTACGAACACTACTACAAAACCGTTAATGAACAGTGAGTGACCTTCTAGATAGTATCCTTCCACGTGTCAGTTAGGGCCGTTATTATGTTTCATTCATTTAAGCTGTTTACTATTCATATGAAATAAAGCAAGCAAATTACTGTTCATTTTCGATCACTCCAAAATTTGAAGCTATAAATTCAAAATAAATATTTTAAAGTATGTGTAAAGTTACTTTTTTGCATTTACAGAAAGAGATTAACTTTAATAAAAGCTAAGTGGTAGGATGAGAAATAGGGTCATAAACAATTACAGTAATCATTTGCCATACTTTTTATAAATGTATACATAGTTATAAAGCTCAAATAATTATGGTCAAATAGTGCTAATTTTACTTCTTTTATCTTACTAAAAAGTAAGATACTGGTAAAGAATGCCTCAAGCATTAAGTCCGCCATTGTACCTTTGTACATGAAGTTGAATAAATAAAATAAATAAAAGTTGGTAACCCTATTGTTGGTTCATGTTCATTAAAACGTAGCACGAAAATTTCGTTGAACGAATTTAAGGTCCATGACTGAGATACATATTATTTTTGTGCCGAAACTAATTATCTATTAGATATAAATTATAATCGTTCGGTGAGGCTATAATCGGCCGTTGAGAAAACTCCTTCAATATTTCAGTTAATTTGCATTGCAATGAAAATGTTGGTGGCCAAGGTATAGATAGGTTCATGTATCGATTATTATCTACCGCTTGGATTCAAAGTTTTATGATATAAGAAAAAAAAAATACACGTTTTAGTTCCTTTAATTAATACATGACCATTTATTTAACTTGTTTAAGTTTCACGAGCGCGTGATCCGTGTGTGATTTTTTTTCATAAAAGCTGCAAGGCCGTTGATCTGACGAAATCGAAATGGTGCAACGCTCATTTGTGTAAAACGTCAAATATGTACGTGCAGTTGTATACCGCACCAAATTGTTTACCCGTGTGTAGTTTGATAAACAACAAACGAGATTCCGCCCTGAACATAAATTTGCCTATGTTTATTTACGGGAAACCTTTTATGCAATAAACTGTATGATGCCCGAATGTATTTCATGTAATGATGAATGTAAATAAAGGTGCGTGTACAGAGAACACGACGTACCGCGAGGGTCGCCCTTGTGGCCGCGCGACGCTCCTTGCTATTTTCGGCCTCACATTCCTCAAGACTGCTTTTCAATCTAACGTGAAACGCATAACGTGCTTGCCGCCTGTCTTTGTTTTCGCGACTATCGCTAACATTACCGTTTTAATGTTTTCGAAATATCACGAACTGCTGCTAGTGAACGACTATTAATCTCGAAATTCTGTGAAACCAATTAGCTATTTGCGCGGCAATGTCAAATAGTGCTGGTGAATGGTATCAGTGTGTCGTGAGATTGTGGAATTCATATTGGATTAGTGCGTGATTGCTAGTGAAAATAAAATGGGCCCCACGCGGATACCAGTTACCACAGAGGATGAGGAACCTTTTCAAGACGCACCTTTTCAAGTTGAATTAAAAACTCCAGATTCTATACCGCCACAATGTGATCTGTAAGAATTTTTTTTTAGTTGTATTACTATTTGTTTAAAAGCAAAAACTAAAAACACTTCACCTGTTACATAAGTAAATCTTAATGGATATTGGTTCGCTAGCTAAACATTTGAATAACCACGAAATTTTGTACTTACGACGTCCAGAACTGTAGCTTAAATAAAATTTAATTACGGCACATTCATTGGGTAGGTGGATACTATAAATGTTTGTACATCGTGAGTCAATAAAAGTAACTTTGTAGCACGAAAAAAATGTTGTTATTGTTAAATGCTAATGTTTATTTAATTTATTTTTG